TGGGCTTCAAAAATCCCAACAACCTATTTGCTGCCCGGGCATGGTCATAGCAGGCGTGGTGTGCCAGAACTTCTGGGAGGGCTGTTTTTTTGCTTCCCCGGGGTCCGGAGGCTTCCCTTCTGCCTCTGGGAGGGTGAAAACAGCCTCTCCTGGAGTCCAGAGGCCCTCCGGAAGCCAGAAACAGGCCTGTTTCCAGACTTCTGGAAGGCCTGTTTTTTGCCCTTCCAGAGCCTCCGCGCAGACCTTGCACATACCTACATTCAAAATGGGCCACCTGGAGACTCCTGGGAGGGGAGGGGAGGGCCAGCAGGTCAGTTCAACCACCTCTTCAGCAAATCAGATGGATATTTAACATCCGGTTCGGGAGAACCGGTCCAAATCGGCTGAATCCCACCCCTGGTTGTCTCTTATCTGACTGGTCTCTTGGCAGCATCTCTTGGTCCAATCTCCCAAAGTCTTCTCTACATAGTCCCATAAAGGCCGTAAGGAGGCCCCAGCTGTACTGAACCGAAAGACATTAGAAAGAGACCAGTTCCCTCCATACCGCTATGGCTTTTACTCCTCAAAGCAACGGTTGTCCTCACTACGGTATTGTCAACTTCAACATCCTGCTAACACTTCTTTCATCTATGTCCTACTTCGTGTTACAAACACTTGTCTGCTCAGATTAAAACAAACCAACCTGAGTGGTTTTGCTCCGGAGCTGTCAGGTTCCCAATCCCAACGAAGGACCTCCTGCACCAGTCAAAGGCCAAGAGCTGGGAAGGGGGAGGTGAGATAGGAGCTCCCTCCAATATTGTGACAGACATTATCCTGCCCCAAATCCAAGGAAAACCTCGGCTCCACTGCGCTTTCAACTACCTGGCAGCTGAGCCGAAGATCAATAGGCCCCCATTTGCCAAGACTGTCATAGGATCAAAGAGACTTGGAGCTGCTTTCAGATTGGCATAAAATCATCACACGGGGCTGGTAAAGAGAGGCAGAGGCAAATTGCCTTAAACAATCTGAGAACAAAGACAGAGTTCTCCCTCTGACCGTTTTAAAACTTTCCCCCTCCAGTATGGGGGGCGGGGCAGTCCTGCCGTTGCAAAGAGGGAAATTCCCCAGAAATGGACTGAGAGAAGGAAAGCATCTTCCACCAAAGGAAGACAGACTCATTCCAGCTTTTCCAAAGTTTTAAAGAGAAGAGACATTCCATGCCTAGAGGGCAGTGGAGCAATTTTGATTTTAAAGAGAGAAAGAGAGAGAGAGAGAGAGAAAGATGACTCGGGAGAAGTGAGCTTTAACAACTCCTGATCCAGTCCCTGGGCATTCATTAATGTTTCATGGTGCTTTCAATTATTGCCTCCTCTGCCACTGCCATCATCTGTCTCTTCAAATCGACAGTATAATAACCACTCAAGCAGAAATCCACTCTTCTCTCTGCCTATCCCCTCCCCAGCCTATCCCCACTTCTGCCTAGCCAGAGCGACTAATTCTCCTCCAGATCCCTGCCAGGAACTCTTGGGGGGCTCAGCCACCACCCCGCCCTGCCCTTACTTGGCTAGGCAGGAGGAGGGAGGAGGAGAAAAGCTGGTGGGGGTGGCAGCCATCTTCTGCAGGAGATTTTATTCCTCCACCTTCCAGCTTAATTTCAACCCTCTTCCCCTTCCATGCTTCAAAATCAGTACACACAGCTCCCTTTGACAACTTACAGCCTAAAGGCATCAGATGCTGGGATGAAATGGGACTCCACTCCCAGTCTTCTTTCTGAGCAGAGACACGGGCTACCAATTTGTGTTCATGAAATAGGATTCTACCATGGAATCCTAAGATGAGGAGGAGGAGGAGGAGGAGGAGGAGGGGGAGGGGGAGGAGGAGGAGGAGGAGTCAGTATTCCAATGAAACCTCCCATTCTCATTCAGCACTCAGAAACAAAGTTCATCCAAGTAAGAATTTATTAAGGAAGTCATGTTGGCACATCTGGGAAAACTCAAATCTGACAGTTCTGGGTTTTTCCTTCCCAGATGAAAATCAAAATCCATCCCCTGCACTCACCAGTCCATCACATGGTCCAATCAAACATTGTCCCAAGTGGAGACCTTCCTCCAGACCACTCCTTTCCAGGTGCAGGGTAACATGTCCTTGACTTTATAAGAAGAATGTTGTTGAGCCTAATCTTGCAACTCTCTAAGAAATGCCCCCTGGCAAATTCCCAGGCGTTTGATGTGGCAGCCTCGAAGTTTCTAAGTAAAATATGACTTCCAAGGCTGACAGCAGGAGGAGGAGTGGGGGAGGGGGAGGAGGAGGAGGAGACAGATGGAGGAGGAGACAGATTGAACTTCTGTCTCTGCTTGAACACCTCAGATAATCAGATAATCAGAGTTGGAAGGGACCTTATAGGTCATCTAGTCCAACCCCCCACCCAAGCAGAAAACCTTACACCATTTCTGACAAATGGCAGTCCAATCTCTTCTTGAAAGTCTCAAGTGATGGCGCTCCCACAACTTCCGAGGGCAACTTCTGTTCCATTGGTTGATTGTCCTCACTGTCAGAAAGTTTCTCCTTATTTCCAGGTTAAATCTCTCCTTGTTCCAGCAAGGAGGAACCTATGATCTCTTTCAGTAATTAGTTCTGCTGTCATACTGCTCTCCCATTGGAAGTCTTTTCCCAACATTCACACAAAATCTGCCTCAACTTCACTCCACCGTTTAATATCCTCCATCTTGGATGTTGCAGGACCAGCCTTGGCATTCATTTCTGTGCCACTGATGTATATATTTCAGGTGAGTTTGTATCATTGTGAAATGGAAGGACCACATTCACCCATGGACTATCCATGGAAGATCTAGTGTTCCTGGACAATGGGATGGAACAATTCCTATACCACCAAAGGTTTTTCCTCCTGCAATACAGTGTCTCTGTGCGGAACCACAGAAAAATTTGCTTCATTCTGGAATGTACGGTAGTCAGCACATATACCTACAATTTGCCTTTCACAACCATTCACCTGTTCCCAGGTGGTAGTCAGTAGCATTCAATGAAGCCAAAAACAGAGACAGGCACAATTATTTTCACATCTAAGCCTGCAATAGGAAGACATCTCAGAAAAGTCAACATTTATCTCATCTCCAGCCATACCTATATGCCTTGACCTTTAGATCAAGGGCCTTCTAACTTGGCAAGTTTAAGACTTGTGGACTTCAACTCCCAGAATTCCTGAGCTAACATGACTGGAGGAGGAATTCTGGGAGTTGAAGTCCACAAGTCTTAAAGCTGTCAAGTTTGAAGGCCCCTGCTTTAGATAAACCTAAGATAACTTTCTGGTAATCAAGTTCTCCAGAAGACTGAGAACCATCTGAGAAAGTCCAGTTGCCTTTTGAAAAAACACCTTCAGGATTGAAAACCATAAAATTGGTGAGACCACATCACATTTGTTGCAGAGCCAGCTTGAGGAATAGTTTGAAGATTTATTGATTAGCTTGATTTGAGGTCTACATTTATAGTTTTCAGCCTTTGTTTATCTGACAGTTGTAGAAAACTATCATTTCAGTTTCAAACAATCATAATTAAGATAGCCTCAATGGATTGTCAAAAGAAGCCTTGAAGATTGCTTACTTCCTTGTCTCCCATACACTAAGGAATGAAAATGGAAACCAGATTTCCATCCATTTGGGTAACTTTCCAGACTAACTATCATTACCTGTTGCTTTAACTTTTTACACTATAAAATATGTTTGAAACTAGAAAATCATATTTCTGAACCAATTCAGATTGCCAGCTCAGATAGGAAAATCAGTTCAATTCAGTTTATACCTCTGAACTGAGTTGCTGGATCAAGTTAATTTGACTCAGTCTTCTATATCATCTTTTTTTTAAAAAAGATTTGTGCATGTACCCCAATTGTCCAAATTAATTTGAAGACCTTCAAGCTAACAATCTAAATCAATTTTCCAATTCAGTTCAGAAACCCTGTTTAGTTCAGAGATTCAACTGAATGGCTTTCAGATCAAATCTTTGACTTGATTCATATACTCCTACTACAGGACATTAGGCAATGTTTGGCGGCGGCATGTTGATTGTGTCCTCAGTTCCACTATCCATTCAGCATTCCAGCTGGGAACTTTTTTAAAGAAAATGGTCCCACAGCAATAATGGAGGTCAGCCATCTTTCAAAATGGAAAAAGAACAAACATGGCTTTCCTCTGTTCCTACCTTTAACTGGAATGATGTAATTTAGGAAGACCTGCTTGCATTCTCACAATACATAAGTATATACTTATACCTGTTATCTAATACTTGCTTGACAAATAAATAAATAAAACATTCAAAGCACTGTGTGAATCCACCAATGATGATCAATATATGGTTTTGTACTCAGTTCAATTCAGCAAACCTATCCAGAGTGTTATTTGAAGGCATCTCAATAAATTCCTCTAACTACTGTGGAGTTAACCTATCAAATTTCATTCCAATGGCTTGGAGCAATGTTGCCAGAACATCACAAATATAGTTTTTACAATCTAATCCTCAATCAACATAGGTCTGCATTAAATTGCCCCTACATTCCAGGTGTGCAAGCTGGGGCAGAAAAGAAGACACACAGATTTTCTAAAAACTTTTATCTAAGTGAGTTTACCTTAAAAGGTAACTTTTGGATCCACCAATTTCCTAATCCAAAATTTAGAAGAGTCTTCATTTTGTCTAGAGTAGACTTTCCAAAAGCAGGCTTCACCATGGATTAAGCCTGGTTAGGAATAAGGCAGAAGTTAGAGTGCTCATGTTCATAATCTTTTCCCTCCTGACATTGCTCTGATTTAAAGGAGAGATATAATATATCTTGTTCTAATGGGGAAAAAATTAACTAGGTAATCAGCATGAGCCATGGTGGTGCAATGGTTCAAATGCAGCATTGCAGGCTAATTCACTGCCCACGGTCAAGAGTTTAATTCTGACCGGCTCAAGGTTGACTCAGCCTTCCATCCCTCTGAGGTGGGTAAAATGAGGAGTCAGATTGTTGGGGCCAATATGCTGACTCTGTAAATTGCTTAGAGAGGGCTGTAAACATGGTGAAGCGGTGTGTAAGTCTAAGTGCTATTGCTATACCTTTGGATAGATGGTAAAGAATTTGAATCTTTGTTTGCATCTCACCTGATTTTTTTTTTCTCAATATGCAGGATACAGATATGACAGGTCTTAAAACAAGGACTTCCTTCTTATAGAAGACCCAATAGTCATCCTCCTGAAAATCTAACTTTTCAGCTGAAATGCCTAGCTATCCTTGTAAGCTAGCATTATTCATGAAAGCTAACAGAGCATAGGAGATGGAACTGTAGATGTATTTATTGATTGGATGTATAGATTTGATGGTCATTTTGCCAAAAGCTCATTAAGTAGATTTAGGCCACTCCTGGATTCTCAAAGCAGTCTCTCCTTTTTTAAAACCACTGCTAAGAGAAGGAAAAGAGGGGACTACAAATGGAATAACAGGACCTTGTCTGCAATATTCCAGGCTCCCACTAGATAGCAGCAAAATACTCTCATTTGCATCTATTTGCTTCCATCTAGTGGTCATATAGACATTTACATGCACTAGAAAGGAAATGGAATTGCCCCAAAACAGGGGTTTGAATACTGCTGCGGTTCTGGCCCCACCCAGGGCTTTTTTGCCCTGAATCTCTCTGCTTCTGCCCTTCACCTACAAACACGACAGGGTTGTGGAGAACATTTCAAGAAGTGTTTTTGAATCCTCAAAAATACTTTATCTGTATACTAAGCCTTGAGCATGCATCCAAATACATTGCCGTTGGAGTGTATTTTGCCAAAAAAATAAAGGGGAGGAGGGAGAAAAGCTGAACCCTGCATATGGAGATGAATATATGAGATTGGCTCCCCACGAGCAGGGATCCAACATGGGCAGACTTTTCCGGCAGTTACCAGATGGTTGCATGAGTTGGCCCTCAGTCATCCATGGGTAGATTCCAGTTTTCCATTGGCAGAGGCGAATTTCGTTCCTCTGGCTTCCCTCATCCCTCCACCAACATTTTCTTTTTCACAAATTGGGCTCACAACAAGCCTTACAAGGGTTCTGCCCAGGATGCACCAAGCCTAGGATGAGCTTTCTTCATAATGAATTGGACGAGGGCGAAAACTAAGCCTCTGAAAAGGCGGGAGACATATAAGGGAGTCCAGATGGGCAGCCGAGAACTTGCTTTGCAGGAGAAAAAGTCACGATTCAAACTCTGCGTGGTGATTTCTGTTTAAAAGAGCAGTCCGGAACAAGGTTGAGGTACCTAGAGATGATATATATGCAACCGTCTCCTCTCCCCACAGCCCTTCAAGTGCAGAAATTGGAGGGTACGTTGGCATTGTGTTTCCCCATCCTTTTCAGGCAGGAGATCCATGGAAACCCCTTGGTAAGTAAACAAACAGATTAAAACAAAAGATCCCCCCCCCCCCCGCCCGCAAACAACAACAAAAAAACCTTATCCAGGCCTGGAGTGCTGCATTCCCCAATTTGCATTTCTGATTTAATATCTACCCAGTTTAATCCAGACAAGGAATAATGACTTTCTGACAGTGAGAACAATCAACCAGTGGAACAGAAGTTGCCTTCAGAAGTTGTGGGAGCGCTATCACTTGAGACTTTCAAGAAGAGACTGGACTTCCATCTGACGGAAATGGTGTAGGGTCTCCTGCTTGGGCAGGGGGTTGGACTAGATGACCTACAAGTTCCCTTCCAACTCTGATTACCTGTTATCTGTCAACCCTTAGAATGCCTGGAGAAAGGAATAGCAATAGCAATGGCACTTAGACTTACATACCGCTTCACATTGCTTTACAGCCCTCTCTAAGCGGTTTACAGAGTCAGCCTATTGCCCCCCCCAACCATCTGGGTCCTCATTTTACCCACCTCAGAAGGATGGAAGGCTGAGTCAACCTTGAGCCTGGTGAGATTCGAACTGTCAAATTGCAGTGAGAGTAGCTTGCAGTACTGCACTCTAACCATTGTGCCACCATTGCTCCATACCTTGGAATGGTTCAAGGTACCTTCTTAAGGTCCGACCATTAGTGATTCCTCTATCAAACCACCTGGTTTTAACCTGCTCGCTCTGTCTGCACTAAATTGAACAGAATTAGGTGTGATACTGGAAGAGGTGTCTCTGCCCTGTACCTCTGGGGATGGAAAGGTTCCCCTTGTTGTGAGTGTGCTGCTGATATGCAAATGGTTATTATAATCCTATTAAGCAGGATTGCTCATGATGTGCATTCTCTGGTTCCCTTAGAACAGGGGTTCCCAACCCCCAGGGGGTGCGAGACAATATTCCAGGGGGGGCGAGAAAAGTCCAGGTAAATAATAGGATATTGGCTATGTGTTGTCATTTTTATTTATTATGCAATGGATTAACTTTGTTTTCATTTTAGAGTTAAGTATCGTTATTTAGTGGCCGTTACATACATAGCTGAAAAGATTCAATCCTACCATATATTTAACGCGTTCAGTAGTTCCTAAAGTCTAAATTTCAGGGGGTGTGAGGTTCGAGTGAAATTTCTTTAGGGGTGCGGAGCGAAAAAAGGGTTGGGAACCACTGCCTTAGAAGATCTGCATGAAGCAACGCCAGAAGCGATTGCCTGGGTAGATGATGTGGACATCCAGTTATGAAGTCACTGTCATACCCCCATAGAAGTTTTGTATAACATCATGTTGCTTGTGTGTATATGTTTAGTTCTGTACTGTCATGTTCTCATCATACATTTAGCTAAATAATAATAATAATAATGATTGCTGACCTCAGCCCCTTGTTTCCTCCATTGTGGCTATTGGAGTCCTCCTTCACATGTAGAGTTCTGTCCGTAGCTCAGCAAGTAGCGCATGAATCTGATATCCTCAGCTGTACATCAGTTGTGGGTAGGTGGACAAATGCCAAGGCTTACCATAGACACAGCAGGAAAATGTTCATACACGACAATTTTCAGACATAAGGAACTTTCGATTCCTGTACGTACTGAGATTTCACGATTGCTGATGGCTTGAATGGGAGGAAACCCAGTTCTGACAGGTCTGCATAGGAATCAGGGGCTGGCAATGCGCAACACTCTTCACCTGACATGGTGAGCGGGAACAAGCCAGGATGATGTCACATGCATTGTGACATCACCGTCTAGCTTGTGTGAATTGTGTAGCTTGGGTCAGTGACGTCACACAAAATGACTTGCCTTTCTTCATCTGTATTATGTGATGTCATCGGCTACAGGTTTGAGATGCTAATTTTATATCCGGTTCACTGAACCGGTAGTCCCGATGGCTGGCTGGCTCTGTCCACCCTGCCTCGTCCCGCCCAGGAGTCCCCATGTGGCCCATTTGAAACCCAGGTAAGTGCAGGGCCTGCATGGAGGCTCAGGGAGGGAGAAAAACGGGCCTCGCAGAAGTTCGAGAATGCCGGAAATGGGCCTGTTTCTGGCCTTCAGAGGGCCTCCGGAGCTCAGGGGCGGCCGTTTTCGTCCTCTAAGAGGTTTGAAGAAAGCCTCTGGAGCCCAGGGAGGGCAAAAATACACACACACCCATGGTGCAGGAGGCCATCTAGGCCATGCCCTCCTAGCAAATGGGCAGAGAAACAGTTGCTAAAATATTTGAAGCCAGAGGTGGTATTCAGCAGGTTCCAAGCAGTTCTGCAGAACCGGTAGCGGAAATTTTGAGTAGTTTGGAGAACCGGCAAATCCCACCTCTGACTGGCCCCGCCCCCCTCTATTCTCTGCCTCCTGAGTCCCAGTTGATCGGCTGGGTCTCCTTTGGTTGCCCTACACAGGAGAACAGAGCTGGAAAGCAGGTTAGTGGGGTGGGGAGAGAATGGGGATTTTGCAGTATCCTTCCCTTGCCACACCCACCAAGTCACGCCCACAGAACCTAGTAAAAAAATTGAATCTACCATATTTGAAGCCCACCCCTGGATGTCATCCCAACACACATAGTGTCACTAGTCTCCCTTAACAGTGTTTTAGATGGCTTTTTAGTCCCTTAAAGATGTGCAGCTGCATTTAAGCATCAAACCAAGCTATATTACCTTTACAGTAATTCGTTTCTCTGGCACTTGACATTTTGTGCAAACAAATTAACCCTTTGGTTAGTTTGTGGCACAAGGCATTGTGCAAATCCCTTTAATAACCAGGCTAAGCAAGGGATCTCAATCCAACACTTTCTAGCCATGCCAGGGGTAGATGATTAACGTAGCTGACTTCTTTCAGACCAATCAGACATATAATTGCAAGCACTACCAGATTAGGACAGAACAGTGCTGTCACACCAGCTGTCACTGGGAGATTAAGAGTTAAATAATTAAAAATACACATGAATACATTCATTTGACTTTGCATTCCATCCGGTTCCCTATGTCACTTTTCTTCTGCCAAGATGACTTTGACTACACACAGCCAAATATTTTGTGTTGCACTTTGCCATTGTGTTGGTTTGACAGACAAATTCCTACATGATACATGCCATATGTGCTAGGTCTACAATTTTAAGATGTTTTAGCCAGGTTCTAGCACAGGGGTCTCCAAACTTGTTTCGGCAGAATCTCATCTGCCATCATCAGGCTTCTGTGTTCTGTATTCTGTACAATACAGAAGCCTGATGATGGCAGATGAGATTCTGCCGAAACGTTGCTACAACTTTAAAAGCACAGCTATAATGACGTGGGAAAATACCCGAACAAAGCTGAATACCATACATGTAAGTACCCGCGATAACTTAAGAAAACATTATATTATTTATTTGAGACTCATTCCTTTATTTGAAAGGTTGCCAGGGACACACCGATATTAAAGAAAATGGACCCTTTGAAGGGACTCCTGAAGTTTAGATGATGATCACTTTTTCTCTGCACATAGGTAGGGAAGCTCTCACCCTCCAGGCCATGTGTAGTAGCAATTCAAGAGTAGCAGGAATTCCTGATTTCTACCCACCGAGTAGTTGATTGGCATAAGAAACGGGGTCACCAGCAGCCTCCTCCTCCCTCTCCATCAACAAGAAAGCTGCATCTCAGTGTTTCTCAACCTCAGTGACTTTAAGACGTGTGGACTTCAACTCCCAGAATTCTTCAATCTTAAAGCATGCTGGCTGGGGAATTCTGGGAGTTGAAGTCCACAAGTCTTAAAGTGGCCAAGTTTGGGGACCCCTGACCATCTCAAGCCTGGGACCCTTGCTATAAAGAAGAACTAGTCTCTAAACAGAGCAATAGGAGTGGCAATCTCTATTCCCCACTCATCCATGCCAAAATTCCTCACCATGGCACAGTTATATTGCCACACAGTGGTGTGTGTGTTTTTCTTTTTATAGAAATACCTCTTCTCTTGATTCTACATCCATTTTAGTTCTGCAGAATAACTGTCAAGTTTTGGACAACAGCTCAGAAGATTGTTTTTCCTCTTTTGGAAAGACACTGCTGCAACTATTTTAAAAATTTGGATGGAAAACCTATTTGCGCTAGCTACCTATGAATTAGTCTTCTACCAGCACTGGGAAATCTGAGCAATATTAATCCATGTGGTCAAAGTTTAGCTTGCTGTGAAGTCTTGACTACTCTGATGTACTGAGATGTATTCCTCTTTTGTTTTTAATTCCTTGTTATATCTTTACCTTTTTCTTTTCTGCTTTGCTTTATTTTACTCTCTTTACTGTTATTTATTATTGCCCATAGCGACCATTTTCTTTTTATCTTACAATTTCATTTATCTTATTATCTTACAAAGCAGTAAAAAAAAGTCATTTTTAAAAGACCTGACCATTCAACATTCAATTTCAGATCAAAGGCATTTCATGAAAAGATTTTATGGTTAAGGTCCATTTCATTCCTTTCCCCTTGGAGATTAAATCTTTCACAGTTGTTCCAAAGGTCTTTTTTCAAAAAGCAACTTGACCTTTTTTTTTTTCTTGAAGATGTTTCGCTTCTCATCCAAGAAACTGCTTCAGTTCTTCAGGTGACTGCAAGGAATATAAATCCTTCCATTCTTCCATCATTCAATCAGAACTGAAGAAGCTTCTTGGATGAGAAGCAAAATGTCTTCAATGAAAAACAAAGAATAGGATAGGATAGGATAGGATAGGATAGGATAGGATAGGATAGGATAGGATAGGATAATAGAGCTGGAAGGGACCTTGGAGGTCTTCTAGTCCAATCCTCTGCCTAGGCAGGAAACCCTACACTACTTCAGAAAAATGGTTATGCAACATCTTTTTAAAAAACTTACAGTGTTGGACCATTCACAGCTTATGGAGGCAAGTTGTTCCACTGATTAATTGGTCTGACTGTCAGGAAATTTTTCCTTAGTTCTAGGTTGCTTCTCTCCTTGATGAGTTTCCATCCGTTGCTTCTTGTCCTGCCCTCAGGTGCTTTGGAGAATAAATTGACTCCCTCTTCTTTGTGGCAGCCCCTGATATATAAAAAAAAATCCAGTTGCCTTTTGAAAAAGCACCTTAAGAGCAACTGTGACCAGGATGACAAAGAATTTGCATGGTCATAGAAGTTTTTGCCCCATCACCATGAAAAGTAAACATGAACCTAAATAATTTTACACAGAATTCATCTAGACTCCTAGGAGAGCAATATTTGTTTTCTGACGGCCATGTTACCTCATAGTTAACATTTTTTTAAAAATTTGTAAAATGATCTAATGTGTTCTGAACTGGTTTCAATTTTGTAGTGTAGAAATGGAAAAACTGAGCAATAGATCATAAAGCTTTTAGCATAGACTTTGAGGATTTTCTCAGGTCATCCCATCCCAGTACTGGCCATATTCCAAATTATTATTTTCTTCTAAAAATTGATAGAAGGGATATTTTTTAAAAAAATAAAACTTCCAATAGGAGAATGCTAAAAAGGAAAAGTCATTTTTTGCGCATCAAACCAAAAGTCCTTTTATTCTTTCATTTTCAGTTTTGTTGCATCCACAGTGTTTCATCAGAAAAGAGCACCAGTCTCCAACATTATGATAGTGATCAGGTTATTATTAGAGACATAAATTCCTAACAAGAATTTTCTACCTTTTTCATCATTAAATTGTTCAAGAATGCTGTTTTACAGAGTAGTCAATAAATGACAGTTGTTCAGAGAAGCCTAAAATTATTATTCGGTGTGCTATTTAAAAGATATCATGTCCCCTGTAGATTTAAAGCCTTCATTAATATTATAAATAGCTACAAAAATACTTAGAGAAAACACTGGGAAACAGAAGAAGTACTTAAACTAATGAACTGATATAAAAAGTTTTGAAAATAAGCATTGCTGATGAACTTTTTCATGAGAGGTCAATATAATTCTGGTAAAGATTATACAAAAAAACCCACCATTGCTAAGTTTAAAAGTGTAAATTGCAGAATAAGATACAGGCAAAAGTATGGTTTTTCACCTTATATTCCTGATAGCGTTTGCTACAAAAATACTACAATAAAAATAGAATTGCTAATGTATCAGTTGCATTTTGAGAACTGGAATCAGGAATTTATATCTGTGAAGAAAACAAGAGTGTTTGAGGACCAACCCTAAATAGGCTTTCTGTCCAATTCAATTTCTTCCTAAGCAAAATGGATCCATTTTTTTCTGAGTCAATTGTCACAAACCATTATTGCATTCTATCTTCTCTCCTAATCACCATATCAAGTCAATTATGGATTATGAGCCCATTTATAATTATTATGATGTCCCAATATATTTTCTGCTTCTAATTTTCTCAGGTCAATTTTGTCAAGAAATTTGAAGATCTTGCTTTCTTAGAAGTCACCCTAGATCGTTACCTGGAGAACACACTTTTTTCTTCTTTTTAATGGTTGAAAGGATGGAAAAAAGCCATGTTACACGCAACAGAATCTGTAGACTGTTGCTATTGCTGCTGCTCTTAATAGGAACAGATTCTTTGGTCCAAGAGTTTCATTTTTTGTTCACCAATATCATCCATGGAAATAAAGTTGGACTGAAACCTGCTTCTTTGTTTGCTATGTTCACACTCTACCTTTGCATCAAAAGATTCAGTTCAACAGTTCATTTAGTGGCCGTTTAAAGTACTGAATAAAGTGACTTATGACCAGTTTTTCACAGTTACAACCTTTGCAGCCTCCACATGATCATATGACCAAAATTCAGATGCTTGGCAACTGGTTCATAGTTGCAACCATTGCTGTGTCCCAAGGTCGTGGGATCAATTTTTGTGACCTTCTGATAAGCAAAGTTGAGGGGGAAGCTATCAACTGCAGTGATTCACTTAACAACTAAAATGGGCAAAATATACTTAACAAATGTCTCACTTACCAACAGAAATTGCGGTGGTGAGTTAAGGACTACCTGTATTTCTGATCTCAAGGGAACTACTCAAATAAAAAAGGAGCTGCAAGAAGAGAAGAAGAAACTAAGCAATAACCAAGATCAAGACTTTCGTGCCAAATGGACTAGTCACCACAGATGTGGGGTTTCCTGAAGTAGTGTTAACAAATCCCAGTAACATCAATTAAATGTACCTTCCTGGTTTACAACAGCCACATGCTAAACTATGCTACGCTATACTACGCTACTGTTGTGGTTAGCTGACAGCAGGTGCAGATGGCTGAGGAGAGCGAGGACTCAGATGAGGGGCCAGGACCATTAGGGAGTGAACTTCCGCCTTCAGAGATTGTGGGGGCTGGCAGCAGCGATGAGGAGGTTCCCGAGGAGCCTGTGCCAAGTGCGCATGTGCGCAGGATTGCTCAGAGGAGAGAGCAGTTCCAACAGCATGGGCGACTCGGGAGTAAGCCTGCAAGGTAATGGCCCCTCCTTCAAGAAGATAAAAGCCAGCCCTGAAACTATCCTTCTTTGCAGAAGGCAAAGACGTTTTGAAACCCCAGCCTCGTGGACATTCCAGTATCCTGAGTTTGTATTTGAAGATTCTTATTTTGCAAATTATTTCTTGTCTGTTATCTTTTGGCAAGTCTTGCACAGCTTATGCTATCACAGCTAATCATTTTGTAAAAGCAATACAAAGGTTTCTGTTCCTTTTGGATTGTGCTTGATTTGTTGAAAAAGGCTGTGGGTCAGAACAGCTATGCTACGCTATGCTAGGATATGATATGATATATGATATGACAGAAAGA